TTGCTCAAACTGAACATTTGAAAACGTATTATACGTATTCGACAGTATCTGAGTGTGCAGAGAAGCATGCGACTATTTGTAAGCTTTCATGAGGTCCCAGGTTCTTATGCCGGCAGACGAACATATTAAAAGTATAATTAATTTTTGAGTATAATTAACTTTGAAAAAGTATATTTGAAGTTCAGAATGAAAAATTTCAGAAAACCAGTATTCGTTTCACATCCCTTCGTGGCACTTTACTATTCACCTTTCTTTCAGTTTTCGGATCTCTTTCCGAAGTTTTTACTGGATATACACATATACATACATGCATATCGTCGTATAAAGTACAAACCCGCGTAATTTGCTTACAGAAGCTGTTGGCTCAATCCTTATCCATTCGTCCTGAAATATACATGCGATTGCTTTATAAAAAAGAGAACCATTTTGAAATATGAGTGTTTTTACTATCTAGATAATAATTTATGCAACCTCACATAGGCGGCTTTGCATTTTGTTGATACGCGGTTTTGTACTTTAAACGACGATATACAGATTATTAAAGACGATCTAAATTACACTATGTGACAAAAAAAAAATGTAGATAGTTTTTTTCGAGGTTCATTCTTGTTGTAGGTCTATCTAAGCAGTAAAATCTGCATACTCAAAATTTTAAATACACCCTCAAAATCTGGGCTTAAGGTCAAAAACCGCGTTTTTCAAAGGGTGACGCACAGGTATACTTGCTTACTTAAAAAAAATTTGTGTGGTAGAACCTAAAAAAATTTGATAGATTTCAAAAAAATGTGGTAGATCTCAGGTTTTGGATCAAACTTTGTACAAAAATTAAAAAAAAATCTGCAAGGTTTCTCCTAAATTGCAAACATTTTAATCAGAATCTAAAACAAAATTAATTTTAGTATAATAAAGTGCATGATTGAAGTTGATAAAAATTGCGTTGGTTATGGCAATTTTTTTCCTTGACAGTTTCCTTCCAGCTTTTTTTTATCACATCACGATGTAGCGAACAAACGTGGCTCGTTCCAGAAATGCTACTTGGGATTTGCCGATTTTGACAATTCTCAAGTAAAAGTAAACAACGCTTTAGAAATTTGAGATGCACTGAAATTTGCTAATGCTTTCACAAAAATCGTCGGTTTTTATCATTTTCGCTATTAATTCCTTTTATAAATCATATATTTTGCAATTTAACACAATAAAACCATGTTTGATGTCGTAAAACTGAATATTGAGAAAATTTACTATTTTACAGTTTATTTTGTCCTCCCATTCTGCCTGTTGTTAGTGTTTAGTGTTGGACAATTTTTGCTCTTAAAATTAAGAAAATTATGTTGAGCAAAAATAAAACTACTCAAAAACGCCAATCTGTGGTAGATTTCAGACCTTGTGTGGTAGGTGTGCTCAAAAAAGTGGCAGATCTACAACAATGTGGTAGAAGTCCGATCACTGAAAGGAATCTTACAGAGTATATCGATGGCTGAGTGGAAGATCGACCTATCTCGGCAACCAGTTCGAAAACGCCCTATCTCAGAAAATTTTTTAACAACGCTCTATCTCAGAAAACTTTTCAAGAACGCCCTACTTCAGGATTTCATTGAAAAACGCCCTATCTCAGCTGCCAATTCAAAAACGCCCTATATCGGCTTATTTTCAATGTATTTTCGTTTGAGATAGGGCGTTTTTGAAATGAATTCTGTGATAGGGCGTTATTCAACCAAATTCCGAAATAGGGCGTTTTTCAATCAAACTTTGAAGTAGGGCGTTCTTGAAAAACTTTCAGAGACAGGGCGTTTTTGAACTGGCTTCCGAGATAGGTCGATCTTCCACTCAGCCATCGATATGCAAAATTTAAATTTCTAACATTTTTCATTTTAAATTACGACTAGTCCGACTATTTTGTTAACTAGTATACATACATAGGGTGCCCATTCTGAAGACAAATTAACCATTTATAAATGGTTGTAAACAACGAAATGTTTTCTCTTAAATGGCATATGTAAGTATTTTTCATCGGGCAAACAGAAATAAAGTTACGAGCAAATATATGCTTCAACCTATGAAAAACGCGTTTTTTACCTTCAGCCCAGATTTTGAGAGTGTATTCAAAATTCTGAGTACCTGTGCGTACATATTATTTTTGTTTATTTCACTTCAAATCTCACAAAATCATAGATGCAAAAGTATGGTTGACACTGGATCAGCTGTTTAAGAATGTATTTATGACCAAATAGTCAAATCGTGTGAATGAATGTGGACAATATTTGTCACTTTACTACTGTGCGCAAATGTGTGCCAAATCATTTGGATCTTTGGCAGCCAAATCGTCTGATCGCAAAACAAATCATTTGTACATCGCTATCCAAATGCGCAAATGTGGACAAATCTAAATTTGGCATTTTGTGTACAAATGCACAAATCGTGTGATCCCTGCTTAACACACCGAAAGTTTTAATTGTCCCTCTCTGCAGCCGGTTTGCACTAGATCAGAGATGGTTCTGAAATGTGTAGGGCGGAACTAGCGCTTTAAGAGACAGTCTCTAAATTTTACTGCAGGGGAACGATACTTATAACAGCTCATATGCCAAGGCGAATTTATACAAGGTGGTGTTGACGGCGAATTAAATTTTCGCCACGGTACTACTGAATGTCAAAATGATGTGTTTGTTGTAAACAAGGCGAATTCATTTTACAACAAAGACATCATTTTGACATTAAGACGTACCTCGACGAAAACGTAAATTCGCCATCAACACCACCTTGTATAAATTCGCCTTGTCTTATGCCTTGGTTATAATGGACGGGGCGAATCGTAACAAATTGCGGCGAATTCGTAAGGATCTATTGATTTTAGATTGTTCCGTTTTACGTTACGTTTACGTGCATTATAACCATTTGCATTCATTTCCCATACAATAGTAATTAAGTGACAGTTCACTCCGTTCCATTACTTCCATTATAACCCAGGCAATACTGATATTGACTCCGGCAAAACAGTATTCCGAATGCTCGTTCACGAAACTAGAAAACGCGGCATTTGAACGGTTGTCGAAAGCATGAGAGCTCATTGGGTCGGTTGGCGACAGTGTTGCCGTTTTAGTCCTTTGGTGGCTAGATTTAGCTACCACATACTTTTTTGGTCACATAAATTTAAAATTGTCCCTTGACCTTTTTTTATCCCTTTGGAAAATTTATTCATACTTGGCAGAAAGAGTTGTATATACTTAATTTGATCTAATTTTTTTTCATTTATGTAAGAGACTAGCAAATGCCCGCTTGCTTCGCGGCGCCTAAAAAGATCTTTTGCGTTCAAAAATAGCGTTTAAAAGCAAAAGCAACCAGTAAAGTAAACATATTTAGTTTAAATTGAAACGACTAAAAAACGGAATCCTCCTCACACATACGCCAAGAATAGTAACGCTGTGATTCCCTATGGAATACTAATCCCTTTCATTGTAATGCATTTTACCTATCTTCTTATTTCCACCTTTGAGATCTTTGGCAAGCGTACGTAATATTCTTCTATGATCCTGCAACTTCAGCATTGGTCCGGTATACCAGGTAAGCCAATAAAAGTCCTTATACGGAAACTCAAGAGCACAGATGAGCGTTTTCAATTATAGGAGGGCCAAGAAACCTCGCTGCCATGTGTTCCTTCTTGGACAGAAAGATTCGACTTCTTTGTCAATTCGCCACTTTTACACTTCGTCTTAATATTTATGAATTGGTTTCTTTTAGTCTTTCTGCTTTAATAACGGTCGCCTCGAGCAACTTCGTCAATCAGAGGTAGATGCAGGATCACGCTTACACAGTCTTACGGTCTTTATATGCATACTTAAATGCATCCTTGATTTAACCATCTGAAAAGTAGCCTTGATTTAGCCATCATCTGAGATAAAAATAGGGCCAAAGCAGAACAAACTCCGCGGGAGTTTTTATATATTTCGGGTGCAGCGTCATCCATTGGGTCCCTTTTCTGCAAAACCTTTGCTTGTCATGAAATGAATACGAATTATGAATTGCAATCAGATTTTATAAAAAATACGGATTTTCTAAATACCTAAACTCCAGCGGTCCATTTTTAGTAAAGAAATTTTTCATCATACAGGTAGTCACGCTGCGAATTTGACTGAAATTTGTTGATAAATACGTGTTTTATAAGTAACTCTACTCCAGCGCCACCAGCGTGTTTTCTAATAGCCTATAATAGGACCATATATGAAAGGTATAACCTCCGACAATTTGACTGGGCTCTATTGAGTGGTTTTTGAGTTTAGTCCGAAAAACGGAAATGGCTATCATTTTATTTATGTAATCTTCCTTATCCTGAGCTTCGCCTGAAAAAAATTCACGCGAAAATTTTGATTCCCCTATAGTAAGTACATGGAAACCAAAAGCGAAAATTGAACCGGTTCAGGGGAGATGAAACTCATGATAAGGCTGAATATGTTTCGAATGAAAAAAAATCATCTTGAAAGTAATAAACGTTTCGAATGTGTATTAACAAAATAGGTTCATAAATACGGCTTTTATAAATAACTCGACTCCAGCAGCATCTAGGGGGCCGTTTTTCGCAGTGCTTTTTTCATCATGCATACGAAATCGGTTCATAAATATAACTTTTATAAATAACTCGCCTCCCGCGCCATCGAGCGCCTCCGTTTTTTGTAAAAGTGTTTTCCATTATGCTGAAACTATACCTTTTGAATTTGAAACAAATCGGTTCATAAATACAACTTTTATAAATAACTCGACTCCCGCGCCACCTAGCGGGTCTATTTTTGGTAAACGTGTTTGTCATCATGCTGGTAGCTCACATTTTGAATTTAAAAGAAATCGGTCCACAAATACGATTTTTATAAATAACTCGACC